GAGGAGGAGGAGAAAGAGGAGGAGGAGGAGAAAGAGGAGACAGAGGAGGAGGAGGAGGAGGAGGAGGAGGAGGAGGAGGAGGAGGAGGAGGAGGAGGAGGAGGAGGAGGAGGAGGAGGAGGAGGAGGAGGAGGAGGAGGAGGGAGGGAGGAGGGAGGAGGAGCATGAGGGCACCCTCCCCGAGCCGACGTCGGCCTCATGGGCCTCGGTCTGTCGTGTGTGTGGGGGGGCAGAAGCAGAGCCGCTGCGGGAGCCGCGCACACCCCGACCTGGGAGAGCGCAGTCGGGAGCCGCGCGCCCGGACCTCCTCCTCCTCCTCCTCCTCCTCCCTCCTCCTCCGCCTCCCTCCTCTCCTTCCTCCATCCTCCTCCTCCTCCTCCTCCTCCTCCTCCTCCCCTCCTCTCCTCCTCCTCCTCCTCCTCCTCCTCCTCCTCCTCCTCCTCCTCCTCCTCCTCCTCCCCCTCCTCCTCCTCCACGCAGAGCCACTGCGGGAGCCGCGCGCCCCGACCTGGGGAAGCAGAGCCCTGCAGGAGCTCCGCACCACAGGGGGAGAAGCGTCGGGAGGGGGCTCCAAGCGAAGGCGCCTCGTCGGCCCACGTGCCGCGAGGAGCACGGGCCGGAGTTTTCGTTCCCATGGGGGCCTCCTGGGAGCCTCGCGAGTGGCTCTGGGATTTTTTCCTGGGGGCTTCCTGGGAGCCTCGTGAGTAGCTCTGGGAACCCGGGCACGGAGCCGCCACTCCTGTCCCCGACTCGGGCCCCGGGGCCCTCGCGGATCGCTCCAGCTCGAGGAGTGGCCGCACGGCCACTGCCACCGCCAGCACCAGCACCTCTGCGCATCTCCTGTCCCCCCTCTGCACGCCCTCGTGCTTCGTCCGCCCAGCCGCGCTCCCGTCTCGCCGAGACGAGCGGCAGGCACCCCGGACTGGAAGCAGACCTCGGATGGGCCGGCACAGCGCGAGGCTGGCAGCAGACCTCGGATGGACCGAGGGGGCTGCGCTGGAGGAGGGCTGGGAGGGAACAACAACAACAACAACAACAACAACAACAACAACAACAGAACCAACAACAACAACCACAACAACAACAACAACACCAACAACAAAAACAACAACAACAACAACAACACCAACAACAACAGCGCAACAACAACAACAGCAGCAACAACAACTGCAACAACAACAACAACAACAACAACAGCAACAATCACTTTACCCGAACGCTCAGTGTTCTCACCAGTGCCAGGGTTTTCATGCGACGCCAGCCAATACCCCCACTTTGTGGGGGGGCAGTGCAAGCTCTACCAAATATCCACACGACTCTTCGCCACCACCCACACCCAGCTTCCGCCCTATGAACGTTCGGCACTTCACATTCGTGGCCTGCGACGACCCGTGTCTACTACACTGCTTGGGAACATTTTATTCTCGGCGGCCGAGGGCTCAACCTATGGCGCAACCGCAAGGGATTGTGGCCCCTGGCAGGCGCGCGAACCCCGTTGCAAGAGCGTGCGAAAGTAGCTCGCGCGAGCTCATGTAACATAATGTTGGAAAACCATTGGTTTTTTTAGGATTCGGACAGCGCGCGCGGGTAGAAATTTTGAAAAGTCGTGCAGGTGTTTTTCGAGGACCTACGGTGCGATTCGTGTGATTTTATGATGCGCGGTGCTAAAATTCTTAAGAAGCCGAATGGTTTTTGGAGATTTCGGCGTGCGCGCGCGAAGAAAAAACGAATGTGTCCCGCATGGTATTATTTGACAGGGATGATGGCCCTGGCAGGTGCGCAACCGTTGTCGAAGAAGTTCGAAAAAGTTGCTCGCAAAAGCCCGTTTGACAGAAATGTTTAAAAAGTGTTGGGTGTCCTACGAATCCGCAAGAGCGCGCGGGATGAGATTTTGACAATTTTTTGTTGAAAAACCATTGGTGTTTTGATGTTTTTATGTTAAAATCGCTGCGAACACTAAGGTTTTGGAAGGATTTCGTCTTGCGCGCGCGAATGTCCACTTTACCTTATTTTTTGCAAGGGATTCTTGAAATTTGAGTATATTAGAACAAGAAATGTCATTTTATAGTGTTTTTTGCAAGGGAAAACGGATTACAACAAAACAACCGGATCTGGATCACATCGTTTTACCTGAGGCTTCCTCACGAAAATGATGAAAATGTAGCTGCGGCCTAGGCGGCGCAGGGGGGGCGTGCACCAGGGGGCCCAACAATAATTATTCTTTAGAATAAATAATGTTCAACAACACAAACAACAACAACACCAACAACAGAAACAGCATTACCAACGAGGACGACGACAACAACACCAACAACAACTACAACGACAACACTAACAACAACAACAACAACAACAACAACAACAACAGCAACAACAACAACAACAACAGCAACAACACCACAACAGCGGCAACGATAACAGCAACAGCAACATCAGCAGCAACCACAACCACGACCACAACCACAACCACAACCACAGCAGCCGCAGCAGCAATAACAACAGCAGCAACAACAACGACGACAACGACAACAACAACAGCAACGACAACAACAGCAACAACCGCAGCAGCATCCATAACCACAACCATAACCATCAACACAGGAGCAGCAGCAACAACAGCAACAACAACAGCAACAACAACGACAACGACAACGACAACGCCAACAACAACCACAGCAACCACAACAACCACCACCACAACAACAGCAGCAGCAACAACAACAGCAGCCATAACAACAACAACAACAACAACAACAACAGCAGCAACAACAACAACAACAACAACAACAACAACCACAACAACAACCACAACAGCAGCACCAACAACACCAACATAGCAACACACATGTTAAGACTGTTCGCCCTTATATGCTCGAGGGTCCAATAACGCGGATTTCCCAAACCCTCAATACCCGCCCTCTTCGTCTTCGATCGAACCCCTTTTGGGAGGTATACCTTTCTTCCCTGCAGGCCGGGCCCCGGCAAGCGGCGGGGCGGCCGCGGACCGTCGGCCTGGCCAGCGGCAGCGCTGATCGGCGGGGCGGCCGCGGACCGTCGACCCGACCCCAAGAGGGACGGACAGGGGACCGACCACGACGACGACGACGACGACGACGACGACGTCGACGACGACGGCGACGACGACGACGACGACGGCGGCGACGACGACGAGCGAAAGCGAGAGCGAGAGAGAACGACAGCAGGGCCACAAGGACACGAAGCAGGCCACGAAGGGCGACAGCGGGGACACGAAGGGAATGCGGATGGGGCCACGAGGAGCGCGAACGAGCGGGGGCCACGAAGGGCAGATCATGCGGGGCCACAGAAGGCACCGATGGGGCCACTGAGGGTAGCAACGGGGCCACGTAGGACAGTGATGGGGGCCACCACAGCGGGCGCGAACGAGCGGGGGCCACGAAGGGCATACGTATACCGGGCCGCGAGGGCAGCGACGGGGCCACGAGGGGCAGCGAGGGGGCCACGAAGGGCTGCAACGGGGCCACGAAGGCTGCGACGGGGCCACGGAGGGCAGCGAGGGGGCCACGAAGGGCTGCAACGGGGCCACGAAACAAAGCGAGGGGGCCACGAGGGGCTGCAACGGGGCCACGAAGGGCAGCGAGGGGGCCACGAAGGGCTGCAACGGGACCACGAAACGAAGCGAGGGGACCACGAAGGGCTGCAACGGGGCCACGAAGGGCAGCGAGATCCCGATTCCTAGGTAATCTGTGAGGGAGTCCTAAGCGTGAGCGCGACTCATGGGTGCCTGGGTGTCGGGAGCGCGGTGCTTGAATAAATTCCAGGAAATTCCAACGCAAGGGCGCTACTCTTCAGTAAATTGCAAGCAAGTCTCCAGCGAGAGCGCGACTCCAGACCGCAGGGAGAGCGATTCCTTAATAGATCGTAAGGAAGTCCCAAGCGAGAGCGCGCTTCCTGAATCAAATGCGAGGAAGTATCGGGCGGGAGCGGGGGTCCTGGCTAAATTGTGAGGAAGTCTCAGGCAGGAGCCGTTGTTGTTGTAACTCGGGGGCCAAGGGCCCAGTTTGAGCCTCAAAGCTGTCCTCGATAAAAAACAAGGTGCGAGCGTCGAGGGGTACATGTTGATTGAGAAAAATAGTATGCACCGGTGGGGGGGTCAACAATATTCTTCAAAAATGAAAGTTCAACGAACCACAACATCAACAACAACAATACCAACAACAATCACAATGACAACAATAACAACCACAATAACAACAATAACAACAACAATAATATCAACACAAACAACAACAACAACAACAACAACAACAACAACAACAACAACAACAACAACAACAACAACAACAACAACAACAACAATTACAACAACAACAACAGCAACAACAACAACAACAGCAACAATAACAACTACAACTTTCATGGGCTCCAGATCTCGTTCGGGAAAACAAGAATCTGCACTGGACCCTGGGCGTTAACTTGGAGCCTCCCTCCTTCGAAGAATACTCGTATCCCTGGACCTGGGCCATGCTTTCAGAACCCGCCTGGGGGGAACTCAATCTTCTCGGGGGCGTCCACGAGGGGGACGTCCAAGAGGGGGGGTGCAAATCATGGCCCGAGGCAGTTCCGCGGACCAGGGGAGGCAGGGAACGTCAGGACATCAGAAGAGGCGCCACGAAAGCGGGGGAGATATCATGGCCCCCGTCATGAGATCCCCACACACACACACACACACCCCTAGTGATCATCCCCCCTCTTGGCCGCTGCCGAACTTCTCGGCGTGGCGTTCTCTTAGCTCTCTGCGCCGGGAGGCCGAAGACGACGAGAAGCCAGTGCGCCTCGAGCTGCCAATGCGCGGAGGGAGGAGGGAGGAGGGAGGAGGGAGGAGGGAGGAGGGAGGAGGGAGGAGGGAGGAGGGAGGAGGGAGGAGGGAGGAGGAGGAGGAGGATGAGGAGGAGGAGGAGGAGGAGGAGGAGGAGGAGGAGGGAGGAGGGAGGAGGTCGCACCGCCCCCGGGAGGCGGGCCGCCGAGAGCGCTCCCCGGGAGAGCTCCCGAAGGCTGCCCATCGCGCGCCTGGGTCCGTGCTCCAGGAGGGCAGCAGCGGCGCGACCTGGTCGTGCGGCTGCCCGCGCGCCTGCGGGCCCGGGGGACTCTCCGCCGTCGTCGCCGGCGTCGTCGTCGAAGTCGAAGTGGAAGTGGAAGCGGAAGTCGGAGTCAAAGTCGTCGCCGTCGTCGTCGCCGCCGTCGTCGCCCGTCGCCGTCGCCGTCGCCGTCGTCCTCCTCCTTCCACACACTCCATCCCGCCCCCCCCCCCTTCTTCCCCACCTCATATCCCCCCCCTATCCACAGTTACACGTTATGAATGCTGCTCTCGCCTCTCCCCTGACTCTGTCAGAAGAGGCACTGGGCACCGGGAAGAGAAGCAGGACGCTTCCTGGGAGGGCACTGGCAGAGACTCCGTCGCCCCCTTGGGGGGCCTCGGGGCGCGCGACACTCCTCACCCGCTCGTAGCCTCGCCCCACTGGGCCTCAACTTGTGGGTTCGAGGGGGGGCTGTCTCAGCCCTGCGACGTCCCCTGCGGCCGAAGGGGGCGCCAACGGCTTCCCGAGAAGGCACCGAGGCAGCACCCACGAGGCCCGCGAGGGGCCCCGCGAGGCCGGCGAGAGGCTCCGAGGGGATCGCCAAGACAGTCTGAGGTTGCGGATGCCATGACAGTGGGCACCCTAGCAACCCTGCCGTTGAATCAAGAACGTGTTCAAAATGGTTGGCAGGTTTCCGAAAAATGTTTAAAACTTGCCTTTGCAACGTTTAAAATGTTTAAACACTCCTAGACACCTGGAAAGTATTGGGCAACCTGCTGCCTCTCCTCTGATCGTCCTCCACAAGTTCAGGGGGCACCGCCAGCTGCTCATCCTGCATCTTCCACGAGAGAGTCTTGTCATCCAAAAAAATTGGCTCGTCCGTGTCCTCGGTTCAACGTGGCTTTAGGATGGCCAAGAAGCCCACGAGAGCCCCAATGACCACCTAATGCCGCTCAACGGGGCCTCAGTAACCACCGAAAACCCCAAGAACGCCCCGAGAAGCCTCAACAAGACAATCCCGCATGGCCCAAGTACGAGCCGAAAACAAGTGCCCCTAGAGGCACTCAAAACGACTCCACATGGCCCCAGGACGAATCCAAGACGGCCCGAGTGCTCCAAGACGGCCGATCCCAGCGCCAACACAGCTCTGGGAAAATCCCACTGGGAACCAATACGCCTACAAGTGGCCTCCACAAAACCAAGCATGCCCCCACAATGCACCACCGTGCCCCCTACAGTCAAGACGTGCATTAAGGACGTGTGATAAGGACGTCAGACCCTTGGAAGCCGAAGTTGTAATTGTTGGGCGGCGGGTGACCAGCGAAAACGGCACAGGACGGGCCGCAGAGGCAAGGACACAAGGGTGCCCTAGATGAAGGCGC